GGAACTTGGGTCCCCCTCGCAGCGAGGGTGCAGCGAGTCGTTTGGTTGATGCAGAGCGGAGTGCACGTGCTGGGGTGTACGGTTTAACCATGTCCTGGATGTAGGAAGGGCCAGATCCATTCGCAGCATGGTAAGCAAGTACCAGTGTCTTGAAGTGGATTCTAGCAGTTACCGGAAGCCAGTAAAGGGAGCGGAGGAGCGGAGTGGTGTGGGAACATTTAGGAAGGTTGAAGACCAGACGAGCCGCTGCATTCTGGATGAGCTGCAGAGGTCGGATGGCACATGCAGGTAGACCAGCCAGGAGGGAGTTGCAGTAGTCTAGGCGTGAGATGACGAGATCCTGGACCAGAACCTGAGTCGCTTTCTGTGTCAGCTGGGGACGTATCTTCCTGATGTTGTAAAGCGTGTATCTGCAGCAACGGGTTGTAGCAGCGATGTTTGCAGTGAAGGACAGGTTGTTATCTAGGGTCACACCCAGATTCCTTGCAGTCTGAGTCGGGGAAACAACTGAGGTGCCCCGATGTTGATTGTTAGGTCAAGAGTGGGACAATCTTTTCCCAGAAGGAAGAGCAGCTCAGTCTTGTCAAGGTTGAGCTTGAGGTGATGAGCAGACATCCACTGAGAGATGTCAGCTAGACAAGCAGAGATGCGTGCGACGACCTGGGTCTCTGAGCGGGGGAAGGACAGAATTAATTGGGTGTCGTCAGCGTAGCAGTGGTATAATGACTGATCCGAGCGAGTTTGTGTACAAGGAGAAGAGGAGGGGACCAAGAACAGAGCCCTGAGGGACCCCCGTAGTTAATTGACAAGGGTCGGACTCAGACCCTCTCCAAGTCACCCTGTAGGTACGGTCTTTGAGGTAAGAGGTGAGGAGGGAAAGTGCAGAGCCTGAAACTCCAAGTTTTTGGAGAGTGCGAAGGAGGATCTGATGATTCACCGTGTCGAATGCAGCAGACAGGTCCAATAGGATGATGACAGAGGAGAGGGATGCAGTTTTGGCAGTGTGCAGTTCCTCCGTGACAGCAATGAGAGCAGTTTCTGTTGAGTGACCTGCCTTGAAACCAGACTGGTGCGGATCCAGAAGGTTGTTCTGATTGAGATAACAGGAGAGTTGTTTAAAGACAGCGCGTTCAAGTGATTTAGACAGGAACGGGAGGAGAGAGACAGGCCTGTAGTTTATAACATCAGACGGGTTGAGAGTGGGTTTCTTTAGGAGAGGGTTTACTCTTGCCTCCTTGAGACTGTTTGGAAAGTGACCAGAAGTTAGAGAAGTGTTGATGAAATGGGTGAGAAACGGTAGAATATCAGGAGCGATAGTCTGAAGGAGGTTTGAAGGGATAGGGTCCAGAGGACAGGTGGTAGGGCGGGCAGAGGTAATGAGGGTAAGAACCTCACTTGGAGAGAGAGGGGAAAAGGAGGTTAGTGTGTTGGTGGAAGGAGGGTCTGGTGACCCAGCGGTGAGTAAAGGTGAGTCAGAAAAAGAAGAGCGAATATCATCAACCTTTTTTTCAAAGTGGGTAACAAAGTCGCTTGACAGAAGTGAGGAGGGGGGAGGGGCTTTTGGAGGGTCCAAGAGGGTGGAGAAGATGGAAAATAGTTTTTTGGGATTGGAATAGGAAGATTGGATCTTATCTTGAAAGAAAGTGCTTTTTGCCTGAGAGATCGAAGCAGAGAAAGAGTAGAGGAGAGCTTGATAGGTTAGGAGGTCGTCACGGTGTTTGGATTTCCACCATTTCCGCTCTGCTGCCCTAAGGACGGTTCTATTAGCACGCAGTGCATCATTTAGCCAGGGAGCAGGAGGGGACTGACGAGCCTGCCGAGATGTGAGAGGACAGAGCGAGTCCAGAGTGGATGAGAGAGTAGAGAGGAGAGTTTCTGCAATAGAGTTTGGAGGTAGGAGTTGGAACGAGTCAGAGGAAGGGAGGGCTGAGAGCACCGATGAGGCAAAGGTAGAGGGGGAGAGGGAACGAAGGTTACGGCGGACAAGTGTAGGATGAGAAGAGATTAGTTTGTTATGTTTGGAAAGGGATAGAGAGAATGAAATGAAGAAGTGATCGGATGTGTGGAGCGGGTTTACAGAGAGGTTAGAAGTAGCGCAGTTCCTTGAGAATATGAGATCAAGGACATTGCCAGCTTTATGAGTTGGTGGGGATGGAGACAGTGAGAAAGCAAAGGCGGTTAACAGAGATGTTAGTTCGTCTATCTTCCCCGTCTGGAGGTTGAAGTCTCCGAGAAGTACAGCGGGAGGGCCAGTTTCAGGGATGTGTGAGAGGAGATTATCTAATTCCTGATCTCCTGGCACAGGTGCATTGATTGACTGGGAGAGCAAGAGTTTTTTTGACCATGGCCGTTTCTCAATCGCGAGGATGCTGGCTTGGTAGTCGCGTACTTCCATGTCACTTCCTTCAGAAACTAAGCAAGTATGCTTCCAAGCCACGGATTCGGAAAACTAAGAAGAATGGAACAGGCTAACAAGTGTGCCACTCTCTCTAACGGTTTCAACATAAACTGTACCGAAAATACATACCTCACGATGTCTATCTAATTATGAACTTGCTTTACTTTCAGGAACACATTTTTGTTGATAACAAAGTAACATATTTACCAACACATGTTCTACGCCACTACATAGCCTACTTACATTTAAATGTGTGCTGCGTCGGTTCAGCCATTCTCTGCAAGGGTTTTTGAAATTGGTCTGTGACTAAAGCATTGTGGGGATTTGAAGGACGCAAAGTCTACCCATGTGCAGCCTCGAAATTTCCCCCAAACCAAGGACGCGGCCTCGGTGGAATTCCAAGTATGCTGGAGAATGGAACAGTCCTTCGGCGGCACTCGATGACGTAGCATCCTTGAAATATTGGCTTGGAAGCCAGTTTCCTCGAGATTGAGAAATGGCCCGTGTCTTTCGTGTCTGTGAACACGCTGTTTTCTTTTATATTGAAAGCTAAACTTTGTCGTACATGGAGATTACAGGTTCCAATTAGTTTAGTCAATCCCAGGTGATATTGAGTGGCAATAGTCAAACTTAATGAATACATAATTAACTTCCTAATTACATCACATGACGTTAGACGCTTTTATCCAAAGCGACTCACATACTCAGTACTGTGAGCCATCCCCACAGGAGCACTTTGGGGTGAAGAGTCTCAGGGACACAACGCCATGCTGACTGCAGTGGGACTCGAACTTGCTGCCACCTGACTCGAAGTCCAGCACACTATCCACTGAGCCACAGCCTCCCCCTAATTTTTAGCTAGCTAAATAATGAAACTAACTTTCCTAATGATTGTCTAACTAACTACCTACCTGTGTACTTACACCTTCACGTCTGCACTCTTTGTTTTGTGTTGCATTGGTTGAACACGTGAACAGCCCTGCTCGGTGTTACCTGTTATACGGCAGAAACATGTTAGTATTAGAATTGTGTAACTTTTCCTTTTCATTTTGCAGGGTTTGTTCATTCTGTTAACAACATGCGTGATGGACAAATCGGTAAGATGTTACTTTTTAAAATAACTCATCATGCATCCAAATCACAACACACGAGTCAGTCGTAGAAGTAGAACCTTTATTTATCCAGGAAAATCAATTAAGAACAAATTGTTATTTACAATGATGACCTGGCAGGAGGCACAGGCTTCCTGAGGGGATGGGGGGTGGGAGGGAAACAAATCAAAAGACAGACTCCGGGCCTTTAGATGACAGGCATAGCAGTTCAACATATAACAACTCTAAAACAATATTGCTGTGGTTCAATCAGTCATTCAGATCAGCATCAGGCAAAGCAGCTGCATGTCCCTACAGCTACCAGGGGGTCACTAATAGTGACATTGAAGGTGCGGGGGGAGACAAAGGTCATTCCAGCTTTCTGCTGCTGAAAGGCGGAGTGGCCAAAGGATGTATGGGCTTTGGGGATCTTTAGCAGGATGCTTGTAGCTGACCGGGTGTTGTGCGTCGGGGGTGGGCGGAGTTGCAGTAATTGTGTGAGGTAGAAGGGGGTGAGGCCTAGGAGTGTTTTGTAAACAAACATCAGCCAGTGGATGTTGCCCCTGGGGCCTGTTCTACGAAGCTGGTTCAACCTAACCTGGATATGTTTGAGTTAGCCGGTTGGCCTAATCCAAAACATACGCGTTCTCGCTAAGCGGTCCTACGACGCGGGTTATCAAGTGGATCGCTCAAGCCAGCCGTGTCCTATCTAGTTAGGTGTTCACATGAGAGGGGTGGTATCTGGAGCATTCGACCAATCACAGACATGGAGAAGCGTACTGACAGCGCAGCGTCATACTTCCTGAATGAAAAGTCAACTATAATATTAGACATATGAAGAAGTTGAAGTTTAAACATCCATGACTTAAACACTTGATCCAGGATCAAAGCCACAGAGCTGCACCTGCAAGGTGAATACAGCTGGGAACAGAACAAGTGTTTGAATGCGTACATTAACAGCTTTATGATATCACTGCCCGTCTAAGACACCATCTGACTTTCATTACATTTGACTCCAGTGTTTCCTCAACTTAATGTGTTGCTTAAAATAATACTTCTGCATCCAGTCTGTGACGCTGTGAGTGTTGCACGGCCAGATACGGCTCAGCTGACTCAGATCAGGAGATGATACATTATGAAGTGATATGGACTGTACTTAATGTGACTCTGATCCGGTTACTTATGTTGTGGCAGATATTTCAGTAAGCTTTCTTAACGCTAATGTTATAATATTCAGATTGCTCTGAAGATGGAGCTGATATTCTATTCATGTTCACGTTCACACAGTCGCTGATTTTTGCCGGCCGTCTTTCCTGCAACGGCAGCTTTTCTGTATTTCCTTTCTCCTGTAATATGACTTGATCGCTTTAAACTCCGCACACTGAGCTCTGATTGGTCAGCAGGCGGTGCTTTCCCTGAGTTGAGCTCTTAGCCTGCAACCTAACCTGCTCCGGGGCAGGTTAGCCGCTCAGCATCAGTTACCATGGAGATCTAGCCCGCTAAAAAGAGAACCAGCTTCGTAGGACCGGAAACCCAGAGTTACCCTGAAGTTAGCCGCTAAGAGAACATCCGGCTTCGTAGTACAGGCCTCTGGTCTCAAGAGAGGGCCAGTTAGCCAGAGAGTACAGGTCACAGTGGAGTGTCCTGTAGGGGGCGTTGGTGGCGAAGCGATACAGAACGTCTAAATGATCGAGACGTCAGTCGGTGGTTTACTTTCTACTAACAAGTTAAATGTGTAATAAAATATATAAAACCACAAACAGGATATTGTAGCATAACAGTTTTAATCTCATTTCCACAGACCCGAGAAGCACTTGGGAAACGTCTGAAGAAAAATGTAAGTGTTCTACAAACAGGATTATTAATGAAAAAACGATTATAAATGATTTGAATCTCTCGCATCCTCCGTCTCTCCAGGCTGCAGCCCCGACCTCCAGCAGCACCACGAAGCTACAAAGCAATTGGAAGAAGTGAAAATGATCCTAAATATGTCTCACACATTTTACGTACAATATATCTGAATAGGCTTCAAGTTCGTACATTTTTATAGTGATTACTTTGATGTGTTCCCTGATATATGAACACTGTGCTATGCTTCTTGTACTGATTGATTTTTATTTAAAACTTCATTTTATTGCGACATATTGTTTGGTAAACACTGTTTATTACATCTTTCTAGGATTATAACCTCGTAATGTAGAATTACCTTATTAGCTTTATGTGTTTTTATTAGTTATATTAATGATTTGTCTTTTGGGGTTTTGGTTTCCTCAGATTGTCTTCACTTGTAATCTTTCATGCTTTCTTCACAGTTGAACGACTTATTTTCAAGATGAATACGTGATTTAATACGGAGCTGTTTCAGGATTACTTTGTGTAGAAACTCCCTTCTGTATATCTGTCATTTGAATCCTATGAGAGGTAGTCGAATGAGATGTTCTTGAGTTCAAGAAAGCGCTAAATAAATAGATTTTCACCCAAAAACTATTCATTAAAACTTGAATGTTTGTTTCTTAACACTGTACGGTAAAGTGATCCCGTTTGTTTCAGTGACATTTTAAGTGTATTTTGATGATGAATATAATGACTTCCATAAAGACCCTACGTCAGTTTCTTGCTCCTCTTCTCCTCGTTCTCCCGTTTGCTCCGCACCTCGTTAGTGTCGTCCAATGAGATTCCTTTCTGAGCCTCAACCTCTGCAACACACACAGGGATATTTACCTATCAGATACCAGCATGAAACTTCCACCCTTCATTACTGACAGTAACACAATTATTTTTTATATTACAAGTTTTCTGACAGGTCATGTGTACATTTGCAAATGAGGCGTTTTGTGATGCTAACTGCATTTAGGAGAAATCTACAGACACGAACAGTTAGTCAAATAAACTCCTACATTTGAAGTTTTCTTTACACTAGGCTGTGTGTGTGTGTGTGTGTGTGTGTGTGTGTGTGTGTGTGTGTGTGTGTGTGTGTGTGTGTGTGTGTGTTGTGTGTGTGTGTGTGTGTGTGTGTGTGTGTGTGTGTGTGTGTGTGTGTGTGTGTGGTGTGTGTGTGTGTGTGTGTGTGTGCTGTGTGTGTGTGTGTGTGTGTGTGTGTGTGTGTGTGTGTGTGTGTGTGTGTGTGTGTGTGTGTGTGAATAACCCAACATCTAATTAATAGAAAATCAAGTGTTTCCCTCAAATCAACCATAAATAGCCACTTTATTTAAACTTCACCCAGAATTCGGACTTTTTCTCCACTTTTTTTGCGAAGAAGATTAGCGCCAAACGTTTTATTTGAGATCTGAACGAGAGATTTTATGGTATTTCTTTTTTTTTCTGAGTCTTGACTTTGTTCTCAGAATGTTGAACTTTTTAAGAATTGAAACTTTTTTTTAATTTGGATTTTTTTCTGAGTCTTGACTTTTTAAGAATTAAATTATTTCCAGAATTTTGACTTTTTCACAGAATTGAAAATTGTTTTTCAGAATAATTTTTTCTCATTATTTTCACTTATTTTTCAATCAATGTTTATTTATAGCCCAATATCACAAATATTACATTTGTCTCAGTGGACTTCACAATTTGTACAGAATATCAGTATGACAATACGACACCCTCTGTCCTTAGACCCTCTGTCCTCAGACCCTCTGTCCTTAGATCCTCTGTCCTCAGACCCTCTGTCCTTAGACCCTCTGTCCTTAGACCCTCACATCGTACAAGGAAAAACTTCCAGAGAAACCCCAGTTTAAGGGAACATGGGAGAAACCTCAGGGAGAGCAACAGAGGAGGGATCCCTCTCCCAGGACGGACAGACGTGCAATAGATGCCGTGTGTAAATTGAAGAGATAATACATTTGCAACATAGGTAGACCAAATGTTTGGAAATGCATGTGTGTATAATAGGAAGATGAATCCACGAGGATATCCATCCGGCCACGGCCACGACTCAAGATCCAGGGCTCGCGATGCAGGACACAGGACCGCAGGATCATCCATGACTCCGGATCCTAAATCCTAAAATCCACATTTAGCCTCTTAAGTTACTTCTTGAGGGATCTGACGCAGTCGTGGTGTCCGTGGCCTATATCTGGGCGATGCGTTCATGCTCCAGAAATCCTCCAGGTTCAGGCTCTAAGAATTTGAACTTTTTTCTCAGATAATATTTTTTCAAAATGTTGACTTTTTTCATTTTATGTTTTTCTGATCTTTGAAAGTTGCATTTTTTCTGAAAGATGAATTTCTTCTCAGAATTTTTCTTCGGAATTTCATTTTTTTCCTAGATTTTGACTTTTCTCTGAAACTTTTTAAGAATTCAAACCTTTTTCTCAAAATGTTGACTTTTTTTCAGAATTTCGACTTTTTTGTCCACACATGTCCCAGTAGAGACACTAAATCCTAAAATCCACTTTATCCGCCTCTTCATTTACTTCTTGAGGAATCTGACACAGTCGTGGTGTCCGTAGATCTGCGCGATGCGTTCAGGCGTCTCTCCGCATAAGTCCTCCAGGTCCAGCGGTGCGTTCAGGCTCTGCAGCAGCTTCAGGACAGGGAGGCGTCCGGCCTCCGCGGCGCTGTGGGCGGCCGTCCATCCGTGCTCTGTCATCAGAGAGGGACACGCCCCGTGACCAATCAGGAGCCTCACAACCTCCACGTGACCTGAGGGGAGGGGCCACAGTGAGATCTCACACTTAAAAACCTCCAATACAGTTTATAACTTAGACTTCATTGAGCTTTTTCCAGACAATAAACAACAAACACAATAACAAGCAAAGAGACACAAGTTCAAAAGTTATTTATTTTTAGCCAAAAGCTATGACTACATCTAAGTTTTTTGATGTTTTTGTAGACCAAAGTTCTGTGTCACATATCTTAATTCCTATTATCAGTGAAAAGGTAATAACAGTAAATGAATGCACTAATTATTCATCTGCAGAATGAGTACTTTTACTTTTCTCTACTTTCTCTCAGAATATTTACGGAAGAAGATTAGGGCCAAAGGAACATTTCTTTGAGATCTGAACAAGAGATACTTTTTATGAGTTCTGGGATTTAAGTAAAAGAATATGATTAAAAACATATTTTTTTCATTTTCTCAGAATAAATTGTCAGATTGTCAAAAACCCAATTTTTACTTTTATACTTTCACTTATTTTGCTCTACTTCTTATGTATTGTCCCATTGGTCCATAAATGAGTTCTGCTTTTTTGACTCAGCCCTACAGGTGTGTTTTTAGACCAAAGCTATGACTTCATCTCAATTATTGGATGTTTTCTGTGAATACAAGTTTAGTTTAAATGCTGATGGAAACTAAAGTAACTAACCTGTGTTCAACATGTGAGAAGTAGAAAGTACAGGTATTTGAGTTCAACATGTAAGAAGTAGAAAGTACAGGTATTTGGGTTCAACATGTGAGAAGTAGAAAGTACAGGTATTTGGGTTCAACATGTGAGAAGTAGAAAGTACAGGTATTTGAGTTCAAAGTGTAAGAAGTAGAAAGTACAGGTATTTGGGTTCAACATGTAAGAAGTAGAAAGTACAGGTATTTGTGTTCAACATGTGAGAAGTAGAAAGTACAGGTATTTGGGTTCAACATGTGAGAAGTAGAAAGTACAGGTATTTGAGTTCAACATGTGAGAAGTAGAAAGTACAGGTATTTGAGTTCAAAGTGTAAGAAGTAGAAAGTACAGGTATTTGGGTTCAACATGTAAGAAGTAGAAAGTACAGGTATTTGTGTTCAACATGTGAGAAGTAGAAAGTACATGTATTTGTGTTCAACATGTAAGAAGTAGAAAGTACAGGTATTTGAGTTCAACATGTAAGAAGTAGAAAGTACAGGTATTTGGGTTCAAAGTGTAAGAAGTAGAAAGTACATGTATTTGTGTTCAACATGTAAGAAGTAGAAAGTACAGGTATTTGTGTTCAACATGTGAGAAGTAGAAAGTACAGGTATTTGAGTTCAACATGTGAGAAGTAGAAAGTACAGGTATTTGAGTTCAAAGTGTAAGAAGTAGAAAGTACAGGTATTTGGGTTCAACATGTGAGAAGTAGAAAGTACAGGTATTTGAGTTCAACATGTGAGAAGTAGAAAGTACAGGTATTTGTGTTCAACATGTGAGAAGTAGAAAGTACAGGTATTTGAGTTCAACATGTGAGAAGTAGAAAGTACAGGTATTTGGGTTCAACATGTAAGAAGTAGAAAGTACAGGTATTTGAGTTCAACATGTGAGAAGTAGAAAGTACAGGTATTTGTGTTCAACATGTGAGAAGTAGAAAGTACAGGTATTTGGGTTCAACATGTAAGAAGTAGAAAGTACAGGTATTTGAGTTCAACATGTAAGAAGTAGAAAGTACAGGTATTTGAGTTCAACATGTAAGAAGTAGAAAGTACAGGTATTTGTGTTCAACATGTGAGAAGTAGAAAGTACAGGTATTTGGGTTCAAAGTGTAAGAAGTAGAAAGTACAGGTATTTGGGTTCAACATGTGAGAAGTAGAAAGTACAGGTATTTGGGTTCAACATGTAAGAAGTAGAAAGTACAGGTATTTGAGTTCAACATGTAAGAAGTAGAAAGTACAGGTATTTGGGTTCAACATGTAAGAAGTAGAAAGTACAGGTATTTGAGTTCAACATGTGAGAAGTAGAAAGTACAGGTATTTGGGTTCAACATGTAAGAAGTAGAAAGTACAGGTATTTGAGTTCAACATGTGAGAAGTAGAAAGTACAGGTATTTGGGTTCAACATGTAAGAAGTAGAAAGTACAGGTATTTGAGTTCAACATGTGAGAAGTAGAAAGTACAGGTATTTGTGTTCAACATGTGAGAAGTAGAAAGTACAGGTATTTGGGTTCAACATGTAAGAAGTAGAAAGTACAGGTATTTGAGTTCAACATGTAAGAAGTAGAAAGTACAGGTATTTGAGTTCAACATGTAAGAAGTAGAAAGTACAGGTATTTGTGTTCAACATGTGAGAAGTAGAAAGTACAGGTATTTGAGTTCAAAGTGTAAGAAGTAGAAAGTACAGGTATTTGGGTTCAAAGTGTAAGAAGTAGAAAGTACAGGTATTTGGGTTCAACATGTAAGAAGTAGAAAGTACAGGTATTTGTGTTCAACATGTGAGAAGTAGAAAGTACAGGTATTTGGGTTCAACATGTAAGAAGTAGAAAGTACAGGTATTTGAGTTCAACATGTAAGAAGTAGAAAGTACAGGTATTTGTGTTCAACATGTGAGAAGTAGAAAGTACAGGTATTTGAGTTTAACATGTAAGAAGTAGAAAGTACAGGTATTTGAGTTCAACATGTAAGAAGTAGAAAGTACAAGTATTTGGGTTCAACATGTGAGAAGTAGAAAGTACAGGTATTTGAGTTCAACATGTAAGAAGTAGAAAGTACAGGTATTTGGGTTCAACATGTGAGAAGTAGAAAGTACAGGTATTTGAATTCAACATGTAAGAAGTAGAAAGTACAAGTATTTGGGTTCAACATGTAAGAAGTAGAAAGTACAGGTATTTGAGTTCAACATGTAAGAAGTAGAAAGTACAGGTATTTGTGTTCAACATGTAAGAAGTAGAAAGTACAGGTATTTGTGTTCAACATGTAAGAAGTAGAAAGTACAGGTATTTGTGTTCAACATGTAAGAAGTAGAAAGTACAGGTATTTGTGTTCAACATGTAAGAAGTAGAAAGTACAGGTATTTGAGTTCATCATGTAAGAAGTAGAAAGTACAGGTATTTGTGTTCAACATGTGAGAAGTAGAAAGTACAGGTATTTGAGTTCAACATGTAAGAAGTAGAAAGTACAGGTATTTGTGTTCAACATGTGAGAAGTAGAAAGTACATGTATTTGGGTTCAACATGTGAGAAGTAGAAAGTACAGGTATTTGAGTTCAAAGTGTAAGAAGTAGAAAGTACAGGTATTTGGGTTCAAAGTGTAAGAAGTAGAAAGTACAGGTATTTGGGTTCAACATGTGAGAAGTAGAAAGTACAGGTATTTGTGTTCAACATGTAAGAAGTAGAAAGTACAGGTATTTGGGTTCAAAGTGTAAGAAGTAGAAAGTACATGTATTTGTGTTCAACATGTAAGAAGTAGAAAGTACAGGTATTTGTGTTCAACATGTAAGAAGTAGAAAGTACAGGTATTTGTGTTCAACATGTGAGAAGTAGAAAGTACAGGTATTTGGGTTCAACATGTGAGAAGTAGAAAGTACAGGTATTTGAGTTCAACATGTGAGAAGTAGAAAGTACAGGTATTTGTGTTCAACATGTGAGAAGTAGAAAGTACAGGTATTTGAGTTCAACATGTGAGAAGTAGAAAGTACAGGTATTTGTGTTCAACATGTGAGAAGTAGAAAGTACAGGTATTTGGGTTCAACATGTAAGAAGTAGAAAGTACAGGTATTTGGGTTCAACATGTAAGAAGTAGAAAGTACAGGTATTTGTGTTCAACATGTGAGAAGTAGAAAGTACAGGTATTTGAGTTCAACATGTAAGAAGTAGAAAGTACAGGTATTTGGGTTCAACATGTAAGAAGTAGAAAGTACAGGTATTTGAGTTCAACATGTAAGAAGTAGAAAGTACAGGTATTTGTGTTCAACATGTGAGAAGTAGAAAGTACAGGTATTTGAGTTCAACATGTAAGAAGTAGAAAGTACAGGTATTTGAGTTCAACATGTAAGAAGTAGAAAGTACAAGTATTTGGGTTCAACATGTAAGAAGTAGAAAGTACAGGTATTTGAGTTCAACATGTAAGAAGTAGAAAGTACAGGTATTTGAGTTCAACATGTAAGAAGTAGAAAGTTCAGGTATTTGAGTTCAACATGTAAGAAGTAGAAAGTACAGGTATTTGTGTTCAACATGTGAGAAGTAGAAAGTACAGGTATTTGAGTTCAACATGTAAGAAGTAGAAAGTACAGGTATTTGAGTTCAACATGTAAGAAGTAGAAAGTACAAGTATTTGGGTTCAACATGTAAGAAGTAGAAAGTACAGGTATTTGAGTTCAACATGTAAGAAGTAGAAAGTACAGGTATTTGAGTTCAACATGTAAGAAGTAGAAAGTTCAGGTATTTGAGTTCAACATGTAAGAAGTAGAAAGTACAGGTATTTGTGTTCAACATGTGAGAAGTAGAAAGTACAGGTATTTGAGTTCAACATGTGAGAAGTAGAAAGTACAGGTATTTGTGTTCAACATGTAAGAAGTAGAAAGTACAGGTATTTGAGTTCAACATGTAAGAAGTAGATGTTGACTCATCTCTTTCGACTCCACTTCGAGCGTTAGAACTATTAACGAAGCACTTTTATACTAATAAAGGACTGGCTTACCTAAAGCCAGTTGAGTAGCACTTGAAATGTTTGGCTCTATGAAACCTGATGTACTTATATGATTCTGTTTTCTTCAAGGTCGTGTCTTCCTGGTCGAATGTACTTATTGTAAGTCGCTTTGGATAAAAGCGTCAGCTAAATGCAATGTAATGTAATGTGAGAAGTAGAAAGTACAGGTATTTGAGTTCAACATGTAAGAAGTAGAAAGTACAGGTATTTGGGTTCAACATGTAAGAAGTAGAAAGTACAGGTATTTGTGAAAAGTAAAAAGTATTCAGGAAAATAAGTAGTGGAATAAAATACTGATACTAGAAACATGTACTTAAGTACAGTACCAAAGTATTTGTACTCCACTACTTCACACCTCTGAAGCTGACCCAGGAAACACAGGGGGAAAGATTTAGTTAAAGTCAACCCTCTTTGTTCTATGCTCAAAGACAAAAATATATACTGAAAAGGTTAGTTTATATAACGATTATTTTATCTAACTGTCAATATGCGTGTAATTTTACTTACAAACTATATGTGGATGCAGGACTTGTAACAAAGTATTTCTAAAAGGTAGTATTGGTACTTCAAGCAAAATATCTGAGACTGAGTACTTCTTCCACCTCTATACTTAATTAATACAGGTGTGTATCAGGTGTGTGTACCTCCAGCAGCTGCCCAGTGCAGGGGGGTTTTGCAGCTCCACTCCTCGTCCTTCTGGTTCGGATCACATCCGTTGAGCCTCAGAATCTCGTGGACTTGGAGCAGATCTCCTGCAGCTGCAGCCTCGTGCAGCTCCGTCATCTCCACCTCAGTGGTTACCTGGAAACAGAGACAAACAAACATGGTGCCTCTGCTAGTGTTGCTAAGGCTCAGTGCTGCCACCTGCTGGGCGTGAACACAGGTGCATGTAATAATAATAATATTTTATTCAAGGGGCCCAAGGCCGCTTTACATGGGGAACAAACAAACAAAGAGGCACATAATAAATTAAAACAATTAAATAGATAGCAGTACGAATGGAAGCAGGGGGGCTGTGATGGGTAAGGGGTCAAATGTATTTGACTATATTCAATTGTATTGTATTTACTCATTGATTTATCTACACTGCTATGTACAAATGACGATAAAAGCCTTGAATCTTTATACCTTGAACGTGTTTTGTTTTTAGTTTGCTTCTTGTTTTGTTTCTAACATGTTCATTTACTAATTTAAAATAAACACATGATGACACTCTGAGAAAACTGCATTACGCTGAAGAAGATGAGGGCCATATGAGAACATGTTTATAAGTAAAAGTAAAACAAATACTAGAGTTCTGAGTTTTCTCTCAAATAACGATAAAAAATAAGTGGTGACACGACACTACGGTGGCTGAGAAGGGTCTAGCTGCGGCCACGGACAGTGGAGGTTGAACCATAGACTGTATATATAAAGGGTTGAACCAAGCCCCCAGGAAGTGCGCCGGAGTCTGATGAGAATATTCGTTGTGGCCAAATGGCGGTACTACACTTCCGTTGTGGTCTCTAACTCGTTGAATAATTTTTTTTAAACTAAATAAACTACCCAGTATGAACGTTTGTATAGCCCTTATTAAAAAAAATCGTTCCTCAAGTTGTAAAATGTGCTAATAACGTTATTCTGAGAGTTATTTTCCTCGGCATTATGAACGCGCATCTAACCCACGGGACCGCGCTGCCCGGCACGTTCATGTTACGTGTTCAGCACTACATGCATTTCTCTTTTACCCATGGATGCACAATAACAACGGACCATATCGCCTTACTGCCCACGGAGCTGTAATAATTGATATATTGCACATGTTTGCTGTAATCATTTGTAAAATATTATACTTGTGTTCTTTAAGTGCCCATGTATGTGCCTTGGATTTAGAGTGCATGAAGAAAGAAAACATTAAAATGCTTTTAATCCTATTTCATACATGGGATGGAGTTGCACTTCAGCCTATTATGGAGAAAATTAGATTTCCAACACCTGACAAAACACTTTTGTTCACCAATTTCCACAAAATGATCCCATCAAAAACCTTTTCTTTGTTCTGTTCTTGAGTCATAAACAAAAGAGACAAAACGATTTTGATCAAAAAATAGATCACCAGAATATTCTTTCCCCCTTGCCTCATTGGGTTTCCGTACATGTGTGCGTGCAGGATTCATTGTCGGAAGAAATAAAAGAGCATGTGAATGTGTTTTACTGCAGAGGCTTTAACCACCAAAGCCATCTGCCATCCAATGTGTGGAGCTACTTCATGATCAGATATCAAGTGCATTACACTATTGCCTATTTATAATTCCTTCTTTAAATCTCAAACTAAACTTTTGTCTTACTTAGGCCTGCAACTTGTATTCCTTGGAACAGGTGCCTACATTTGACCAATGCCTTTTTTTGTGTATGATGTCATTATGTTGACGGGGACATTTAATCCAGTTGGTTAATTTATAAGTCAGTATCTGAAGTAAGATCTGTGACTGTTGTGCAGCTGTAGTCAGCAGCTAATTAGCTAATTAGCTAATGCATGATATGGAAGGGAGTGTGTGTGAGATCCTGGTGGCTGCAGGCTGTGGTCAGGGAGAAACAGCAGGATTGAGGCTGTGTGTCATGTGTTCCTGACTTAATAAATGCCCACACCGGGTTGTATTTTGGACGTTCTGCCTCTGCCTCCTTGCTTGGTCGGGCCGCTCAATTGTCAGCTTCACAATTGGTGTCAGAAGTGGGATCGTGTCGTGTAGTGTCGTGTAGTGTTCTGTCCGCAGCTAGACCCTTCTCAAAAAATCTGCCCCTTCCTTCAGACTTCCTCACAGAGCCCCTCCTCCAACACACACGAACGTGCACATGACCAATGAGGGCACGAGATGAGTTTGTGCCCCGATGGAAGGCTGACAGGCAGGTAGGCCATCCAGTTACTTTAGCCGGCTCAGATGATTGGTCGTGCTTTTTACAGCACCACGGCTTCCACAGATGACATGCTTTTGTATGTATTTATTGTGCAAGCATTTCATATATTCATTGCTATCCGGATGTAAAGAGCATTCCATGGAATATAACAAAAAGTGTTTCTGAAGTGAATTACCTACCCCACCTTTAAAGTCAGAATGCTGAGTCAAAAGTCGGAGTAAAAAAGAGTGAGTTCTGACCTTTTTCCCAAAAAACGAAATTCTGAGTGAAAAATAAAAATAAGATTCTCCAGAAAAGACATTCTGGTTTAATTTTTAGTTCTGAATTTTGAGAAAAATGTAAGAGTTCAATTTATGTCTGTCATTTGTTTTCATAGTTCTTTTTTGGGGATGTGACCATAGGCGGAGTTTGACATTTGCGCTTGGGGTGGCAAACCTTTTTTTACTGACGTCAGTACACAGTCCCAACTATTGTGTGGGGTGCTACGGATACAGTAGCAATAAAGCCAGCGCTCACCGCACTGAGTATGACTTTTCCACATACGAACACAACTCGTCCCGTCATGCACGCCTCATGCCCGCCGTACACACACACTCATATGGAAGGGGCGGTCTCTCCCCCCAACAACATGCATTAGATAACTGTAGAACTTATCATAACTGCACATCTTATACTTATTTGATAACTACTATATCCCTTGGTTACTTGAACACGCTACAATATTATTAACCAGGGTCCTACTTAGTGCAGAAGTAGACGCCTTAAACGTCCCAGAAATTGGACGTTTTAAAAATCGCTGCATATCTTATTGTAATACAATAGCTGAATCACAAGTATGCAAAAAAAAAAAAGCGAGGGAACTTGTGTCCTTAACCTCATACGTCACACACACACATACGTCACAACATGCGACTGCTCAAAAATGAAAATATTTCAAACACATTTCAGCCACTAGGTGGGGGGGGGGCACGTTCATCAGTATTATAATCAAAAAGAGAAATATGAACATTAGTTTTTACTAAAATGATCAAATAAAGTCAACATCTCACAGTCTTTACTGAGCTGTGTGGGGTTTGTTCAACTTTTAAAAGATGTTTGAATGGTGATATACACAGTGATAGATGTTAAGGACTAACGTTTATAATAAATACATCTGTATTTATTTTAAGATCTTTTCATCAATCATACGTATTGGGATCATTTGTATTAATGTGGACCGGAGGGAGAGGGTGACGAGCAGAAGTTTCACTTTCCTTTTTTATTTCAATTCCAGCTTTGGTCCTGAAGAATATGTTTCTCTGTTGTCCACGTTCATAAAGCCTAAAGCAACAGCATCAGAGCACAGAGTCTCTAGATGAGTTTACAGGAGTCCCTCGTTCTTATTGAACATCCATGTTGTAGTCCGCTGTATAGAGAACTGTAGTCTCCATAGTTTCCCCACAGCAGCAGACGCTCATTCAGGACGTCCGCTGGCGCATCAGAAACACGTCGGATAGTGAAAGTGCAGTCGATTCTCTAAAGTACCGCAGTCTCTTCTCCTAAGTCCTTTTGAATTCTCCTATCCACTATCCCTTAACCCTGTGACCTTTCACTCAGAGGTCAAGGAATAGGAGATAGGGTTAGAACCAGTGGCGAGCCATGACTTTTATACCTAGGCCCTCTGACCCCTGTTAACTGTGATGGTTATTCTCGCGTCCAGGAAAGAGAAGCTTAAAAAGACTAAATGGAGTCTCTGAGATGTTTTCAAATTGGTACTTTAATTAATAAAACGCGTGGTAAAGTCATAAACAGGATATAAGTCCGACAGAAAAGCAGCTGCCTCTGGCCCTCGCTAGCAGAGAAAAGAGGCCGAACCCCTCAGGTTTCGTTGTTTATATAGCCTCTCCTGGCTCCTCCCTGGGGGCCGGCTCTCCGACTATTTAATGTCCGTTGTTACACATATCACAGTATACAGACATTGTACATTCAATATATATCTAAACACTCCTTTTCTCCTCCTTAACTCTATCATGACTTTCCATTCAACACATTCTAAACGCTGTAATCAACACTCCAAAAAATACAGGAAATCCTTCACAGCAATTCGATTTCCGGTCGCTCCGAATGTTGTGACATGCTACCCACATCTGTAAGCGATAACGTACTCAAATAAACTGTACCTTCATTTAATATCCAACAATAATAATATCTCGACGTCTATAGTTGTAGTGTTGAAATCAGTAGGTTTCGGTGTGCACCATCATATCATATCGCTGCTAAATTCACCTCTATAGGAAATGGTATATTAGCCTCATGCTAAATGCTAACCGGAGGTGAAGGATTTTCAGAATAAAAGTCTAACTGGTTGTGCACAAGAACTTCTGGTTTTTCAGTATAAAACAGCATTTAAACTAAAGGTACATTTAAGGTACATTATGCCATCAAAACATTGATTTTAATTTCTAACACCCCCCCCCGAAAAAAAAGAAGAGTTATTACGTCACAGCGTATACTTCAGCGGAATATTAAAACAGCGGCCCGGGGTGCAAAACGCATCAATGACAGCGACCCTCTACCACACAAAACAACACAATTTATATAAACACCTATCATGACAGGGCACCCACAGCCAAGTAACAATTACAAATGAATTAAGTCGGCACGGCGACCGGCATTGAAAATGACTTTGGTCTACCTTTGATGATAAAATCACTGAAACACAAAGTCCATCCTCCTGTCCTTTTGGATGAAGCACTTGATGGCGGGTCATTCAGCTGATCCTTTGCCACTCCAGTTTATCATTGGAACTCAATCTTGAAAATGACTCGGTTAATAATTTCGCAACGATGTCATCACTATCACTGAAGTGAGCCATCATGAACGAACTTATGCTAATTATAAATATATCGATCATAAATCTATCGATTAGATTTATGATTCGAAAATAATAAAAGTAGGGTAGACATGTGGATATTATCCGGCTGAACAAAACGTGCATTTATCTAACAGGTTCGTTTTCCACAGACCTTATTTCCAGCTATTTTCCAAAATCCTATGGAAAAATCCCGTTGCTTTCTGTCGAGGGAATCCGAGCGAAGCTTACTTCCGGGTTTTAGGACGCGTCACTGCACCACTTGCATAGACCTCACAGCGGGCGGAACTTGTCATAAAGTCCGCGAAAATAATGCCCGCCCATTTAGAGGGAAGATATGATTGGTCAATTGTACTGTCATTTGACATTACTCTCTCATTGAGTTACTATAGCGGGCCCTCTGTGAATGTAGAGAGGGACCAACAAGCTCTCCCGTCTTCACATAACTCGCAGAGACGGCATTTAACCCTTCACATTCCAACATAAACTGAACAGGCAGATTCGAAGGATTTATTTCTTTGGAAATATTATTTTAAATACAATTTAAATCAAGTTATTTTGGTAAAACTAATGAAAAATGTAACAACAAAATAATATTTTAAAAAAAATGTTTTGTTTTATTTCAAATATAATTTTTTCGAATATCTTAGGCCCTCACAGAGGGCCTAGAGGGCCCTGACGGCTCACCACTGGTTAGAACTTAGGAGCTGATTTTTGGACTATTCAATCGCAAACTCTATGTATGTGTATATATATATATATATATATAGATATAGATATATTGACACAGAACCAAATGACAAGTTTAATTTCCTTTATTTATTAAAATCTTTTTATATTTTTCTGCTTAAAAATGTATTTGTCAACAAGAGGCGAGACAGCTCATTCACGTCTGGGTTTCATGGGTCCAAAGCTGCAAAAAAGAAAAATTAGTTCACATATTACATTTTATATTAAAAGTAAGTCTTTTTTAATAATGCACATGTATTATATAAATAAATGCTTTATGGTCTTACCATTCTTTGATGACTTTAAATTCTTCATCACGCTGTAATCATGGCCAACTTCTAATGAAAGAACAATCATTAAAAAACAAATCGATATAAATTCGCAACAAGACTTTTCTGAGGGCGCATTCACAAGCCAAGGTTTGGTTTATTTTAATTGAACAAATAAAAAAAATCATTTCCAACCAAACCTGTAATGTGTATGTTTTCGGGGGAAATAGTGATCAACAAATTGGTTAAAAACCAGAGCCTTATCTGGAAGTGTTGGTTCTGAAAATGTTCCAAATGTGTATGCTAGGAAAACCAAATCAGGATTACAGCTATCACCAAAACCATGTTTATCCACCACATTTCTGACCAATATCAAAGACTTCTGCAAGTCATTTTCCAGACCTGCACTGCCGTACACTTCTACATTATTTAACAATATGAAACTGAATAATATTAATAAGAAAACTAACGAAACATATACAATTATCTCCAAGCAGACTTGCCAATTGGACTACAGCTTGTCAAAGCGCCCTTAGGTTAAAGTATAGTCTACTAACCTGCTTCCAAACACATTCCAGAAGCGTCGCCCGTGTCCAATCCTTTCCAGTATTTCTCCATCATTGTATTTACAACCGCTCCCTCACACTCCACCTCCACTGTATACAGAGGAACTGCGATCTCTGGATGGTAGTCCATGTTCAGGAGTGTCACTCTGAGTCGTTTATCGACCAGAAGGTTGTAGAAGACATCATGAACTTGGTCATCCCAGGAGCCTTTGCACTGATCAAATCCATCCAGAGAGCACAGAAAGGCCTGAGGATCTATCTCCATCAGACTCTGAGGCACTGATCTCACGTTCTTGATGTCAACTTCAGTCTCGTTTCCATAGTCGATAAACAAAACTTCAAATGTATCTTCAACTCTGCGAAGAACTTGAGCTCGATACCAGTGTTTGTCACTGGCAAACAGAGCAAGGCATGGACTACCAGGACCGAGAGTCTCAGGAAATGTCATATCCTGCTGAGCCAGTCCTGCTTCCTGAGCAAGACTTGTCACTTTTTTCTGCTCCTCTTCATCGGCGTACTCACACCAGAAGAAATGTGGTCCAACAACGCAGGATGCATATACCTCCACCGGTTTGTCTTTGGAGATGCTTGGCTCCTTGAACATACCAGCATTCACATTTCCTGTGGAAACATTAAGATGTGTGGCGCTGGAATCCATCTGAATGTCTCTGTTGGACTCCGTCTGAATGTCTCTGTTGCACGCCGTCTGAATGTCTCTGCTGGACTCCGTCTGAATGTCTCTGCTGGACTCCGTCTGAATGTCTCTGCTGGACTCCGTCTGAATGTCTCTGTTGCACGCCGTCTGAATGTCTCTGCTGGACTCCGTCTGAATGTCTCTGCTGGACTCCGTCTGAATGTCTCTGCTGGACTCCGTCTGAATGTCTCCGCTGGACTCCGTCTGAATGTCTCCGTTGGACTCCGTCTGAATGTCTCCGTTGGACTCCGTCTGAATGTCTCCGTTGGACTCCGTCTGAATGTCTCCGTTGGACTCTGTCTGAATGTCTCCGTTGGACTCCGTCTGAATGTCTCCGTTGCACGCCGTCTGAATGTCTCCGTTGGACTCCGTCTGAATGTCTCCGTTGGACTCCGTCTGAATGTCTCCGTTGGACTCCGTCTGAATGTCTCCGTTGGACTCCGTCTGAATGTCTCCGTTGGACTCCGTCTGAATGTCTCCGTTGGACTCCGTCTGAATGTCTCCGTTGGACTCCGTCTGATTGTCTTGGAGGGAAGTCTCGGTTTGATCCATTTCAGGTTTGGCATGTTCTGTGGGAAGCGGTTTCCAGTATTTCTGCATCACGGTATTCATAACCACATTTTCACACTCAATTGCCACCGCATATTGAGGGAACACACTGTCTGAATGCTCTTCTATATTTAACACTTTCACCCTGATGAGTTTATCAACCAGAAGGTTGTAGAAGACATCATGAACTTGGTCATCCCAGGAGCCTTTGCACATATCAAATCCATCCAGAGAGCACAGAAAGGCCTGAGGATCTATCTCCATCAGACTCTGAGGCACTGATCTCACGTTCTTGATGTCAACTTCAGTCTCGTTTCCATAGTCGATAAACAAAACTTCAAATGTATCTTCAACTCTGCGAAGAACTTGAGCTCGATACCAGTGTTTGTCACTGGCAAACAGAGCAAGGCATGGACTACCAGGACCGAGAGTCTCAGGAAATGTCATATCCTGCTGAGCCAGTCCTGCTTCCTGAGCAAGACTTGTCACTTTTTTCTGCTCCTCTTCATCGGCGTACTCACACCAGAAGAAATGTGGTCCAACAATGCAGGATGCATATACCTCCACCTGTTTGTCTTTGGAGATGCTTGGCTCCTTGAACATACCAGCATTCACATTTCCTGTGGAAACATTAAGATGTGTGGCGCTGGAATCCATCTGAATGTCTCTGTTGGACTCCGTCTGAATGTCTCTGTTGCACGCCGTCTGAATGTCTCTGCTGGACTCCGTCTGAATGTCTCTGCTGGACTCCGTCTGAATGTCTCTGCTGGACTCCGTCTGAATGTCTCCGCTGGACTCCGTCTGAATGTCTCCGTTGGACTCCGTCTGAATGTCTCCGTTGGACTCCGTCTGAATGTCTCCGTTGGACTCCGTCTGAATGTCTCCGTTGGACTCTGTCTGAATGTCTCCGTTGGACTCCGTCTGAATGTCTCCGTTGCACGCCGTCTGAATGTCTCCGTTGGACTCCGTCTGAATGTCTCCGTTGGACTCCGTCTGAATGTCTCCGTTGGACTCCGTCTGAATGTCTCCGTTGGACTCCGTCTGAATGTCTCCGTTGGGACTCCGTCTGAATGTCTCCGTTGGACTCCGTCTGAATGTCTCCGTTGGACTCCGTCTGATTGTCTTGGAGGGAAGTCTCGGTTTTGATCCATTTCAGGTTTGGCATGTTCTGTGGAGCGGTTTCCAGTATTTCTGCATCACGGTATTCATAACCACATTTTCACACTCAATTGCCACCGCATATTGAGGGAACACACTGTCTGAATGCTCTTCTATATTTAACACTTTCACCCTGATGAGTTTATCAACCAGAAGGTTGTAGAAGACATCATGAACTTGGTCATCCCAGGAGCCTTTGCACATATCAAATCCATCCAGAGAGCACAGAAAGGCCTGAGGATCTATCTCCATCAGACTCTGAGGCACTGATCTCACGTTCTTGATGTCAAACTTCAGTCTCGTTTCCATAGTCGATAAACAAACTTCAAATGTATCTTCAACTCTGCGAAGAACTTGAGCTCGATACCAGTGTTTGTCACTGGCAAACAGAGCAAGGCATGGACTACCAGGACCGAGAGTCTCAGGAAATGTCATATCCTGCTGAGCCAGTCCTGCTTCCTGAGCAAGACTTGTCACTTTTTTCTGCTCCTCTTCATCGGCGTACTCACACCAGAAGAAATGTGGTCCAACAATGCAGGATGCATATACCTCCACCTGTTTGTCTTTGGAGATGCTTGGCTCCTTGAACATACCAGCATTCACATTTCCTGTGGAAACATTAAGATGTGCGGCGCTGGAATCTGTCTGATTGTCTCCGTTGGACTCAGTCTGAATGTCTCTGTTGGACTCCGTCTGAATGTCTCTGTTGCACGCCATCTGAATGTCCTCCGTCTGAATGTCCTCCGTCTGATTGTCTTTGATGGAATCTGTCTGAATGTCTTTGTTGGATTCCGTCTGAATGTCTCTGTTGGATTCCGTCTGAATGTCTCTGTTGGACGCCATCTGAATGTCCGCCATCTGAATGTCCTCCGTCTGATTGTCCTCCGTCTGATTGTCTTTGTTGGAATCTGTCTGAATGTCTTCGTTGGACTCCGTCTGAACGTCTCCGTTGGACTCCGTCTGAACGTCTCCGTTGGACTCCGTCTGAACGTCTCCGTTGGACTCCGTCTGAACGTCTCCGTTGGACTCCGTCTGAACGTCTCCGTTGGACTCCGTCTGAACGTCTCCGTTGGACTCCGTCTGAACGTCTCCGTTGGACTCCGTCTGAACGTCTCCGTTGGACTCCGTCTGAACGTCTCCGTTGGACTCCGTCTGAACGTCTCCGTTGGACTCCGTCTGATTGTCTTGGAGGGAAGTCTCGGTTTCATCCATTTCAGGTTTGGCATGTTCTGTGGGAAGCGGTTTCCAGTATTTCTGCATCACGGTATTCATAACCACATTTTCACACTCAATTGCCACCGCATATTGAGGGAACACACTGTCTGAATGCTCTTCTATATTTAACACTTTCACCCTGATGACTTTATCAACCAGAAGGTTGTAGAAGACATCATGAACTTGGTCATCCCAGGAGCCTTTGGACATATCAAATCCATCCAGAGAGCACAGAAAGGCCTGAGGATCTATCTCCATCAGACACTGAGGCACTGATCTCACGTTCTTGATGTCAACTTCAGTCTCATTTCCATAGTCGATAAACACAACATCAAATGTATCTTCAACTCTGCGAAGAACTTGAGCTCGATACCAGTGTTTGTCACTGGCAAACAGAGCAAGGCATGGACTACCAGGACCGAGAGTCTCAGGAAATGTCATATCCTGCTGAGCCAGTCCTGCTTCCTGAACAAGACTTTTCACTTTGTTCTGCTCCTCTTCATCTGCGTACTCACACCAGAAGTAATGTGGTCCACCAATGCAGGATGCATATACCTCCACTGTCTTGCTTTCTGAAATGTTTGGCCATGTGTACTTGCTGATATTCCCATTTCCCTCGGGGCAAGAAAGAAGGGAAAGTTGTGTCACTTCTGAATCATTGCTGCATATTTCCGAGGTTGTTTTTCTTCCTTCATCTAAAGTCTGTTCATGTTCAATCTCTGGCAAAGAGACTTTAGTAACTGGTTGGGAACTCCGCTCATCTCTTGCACAGGTTTCGTTGCTAGTGGCACGTTTTATGATGTTTAAAAGCTGCTGATCAGTCTTCTGAACAAGAGCCATCATCCCCGGTTTCATATTTGAAATCCTCTCTCTGACTATTGCATTTACACTCAGAGATCCATCGAACAGTTCAACAATTAGCTTCCCCTTTTCCCCTTTAGCTACCACAGAAATGGTCAGATTTTGGCCAACGGCATGATCTGCAAACCACTGGTTGATTTCCTGTGGCACTTCTGCAGGGACATTAAACAGTCCCAGTGGAACAGCCTGAACAGGGAGAGCTCTGACAATACTTTCTCCAGTGGGACAGGGGCAAATATCCCATTCATTCACGACCAGGGTTTCACCATAATCCACAAAGTGTACTTTAAGTTTTGGAGACAGTTCTACCACTTGTCCTCTGTACCATTGCTTATCAGTGTACTTGGCAAAGCAAATGCTATTAAGTCCAAGTGGATGATCCTTGCACTGTTGCTTGCCGAGTAGTTGTTTGACATTTTTCATCACTTTGTCAAACAGATGATAGTTCCTGTTCAGTTGGCAGTGGAAGAGATTGACATTACCTGAAGACGTTATCCACACTTTTTCTTTTCCATTCACCTGAATGTTTTGTGTGGAGTAATTGTATGAATCTGATTGAACCGGTGGAGATTTTTGCATTTTGTGAGCTTCATTCTGTGCGTATTCTTTAGTCGGACACCTGCATGTACCGTCAGATGGTGTTTCAATATCTAGCACATTTAGCAAGAGACCTTCCTCATCACAAGTGGCAGCTTTTACTGTGCAAGTCAAACCAATGCCTGACTTAGCACATGATTCTGCAAACTTCAGAAATTCTCTGTCAGTCCAAGTGGGATTTGTGGATTTCTTGTCTGGAGGCTGGCATAAGCAGCACTGAAAAGCCTTTGCATTCAGCTGTAAGAAAGCCGGATCAATGAGGTGTATATCCCGCAGAGGAACCGTTCGCATTCGACCAAAGTCTATGAATCTCACATCTACAACGGGGGAGTGTTGACTCGCCATGATCTTTGCTCTGTACCACATGCCGTTGTCTGGACTTCGGGCCACACAGATTGAATCGACGAGTGGCTGACGGTGGGCGGATGCGTAGTGGTTTTGCAGGTCATTCATCAAGCGTCCTAAAGAGTCACCATCTTCTGTTGTTTGACACCAGAACTTCTGTAGACTTTCGAAACAAGATACCATAACGTTGAAGCTTCTTCCTACAGCAAACACATCATCATGGGGAGTGTTTTGCACCTCAGTTGGAAGATGCCCGTTGATCTGTATTTGAGGGGATGGATGTTGTTCCCTGTTTTTGCTGCCAGTTGTTGGTTCATCGGTCCATCCATTGACTGATTGGTTCTTTGTGTTTGGCAAAGTTTCCTCCAGTAAAACATCAACATCAACTGTGTTCTGCACATTTAAATCTTGTTCAGTGTTGACAACATCAGAGGAAGCTAAATGTCCCATCTTCTGTATGAAACTACTGTTGATGCATGTACCACAATTTGCATAGAGAGTGACGTGATAGACATCTCGAGGTTTATTGTGGCGGTTAAACTTTGCCACCTGAGTTTTGTTAAGAAGCAAGGACCTCAAGTAACCGGTCGTTTCTGCTCCGTCATCTGTTACACCTTCAAGAGAACAATGATACGTGACAACGGGCATCCTCAGAAGTTCTCTGTACAGAGGTCTAATGTCTCCAACGGAGACCGATTCAACTTTTCCTTCATCCACATGGAAGACTTCTACAGCATCATCATTGGTTAAGGTTTGCTTCAGTAACGAGCGATGCCATTTTCCATCCATCCCTTTTGCAGCGCATGGATCCCCGCAGTTCAAATGCGAAGTCTCTCCTGAATCTGAGTGCTTTTCATAATGCTGCTGCATATCTGCTCTGATATTGTCTCACCGCCTTGGAGAAAATGTGAAGTTGGCAAAATATGTTGTGTGGGTTAGTTACCTCTGTCACAATAACATGTTCAAAAGCATTCATTAACAGATCTGGGTAGAAGTATTGGTCGATCTTCTCAAGTTTGCGCCCAACATTCAGATTGCGTTCTTGCGTTACGCGGTCCACTTCAAGACATTTCTGTACAAGGCACTTAAACTCGTCTACCGCCATCTTCTTCGCAACTCCAAACATACACATCGGCTTGGAAACCATGGGTATGTCGAGTAGAAGGGTTCTGTTCGGCTTCAGCACATCTTGAACCAGGCCTCTAAACTTCTTACCACGCAGAGACATCAAAAACTTTGAGGCTCTTTCTGGCCACCTGTTATCGAGGAAGAGGACATTAGCGAGAATACATGATTCAGTTTCAGGAGGAAGGAGGAAACTGTCCTTATGTCCCCATGCTAACGCTTTGCTTGTGGTGATATGCAGCAGTCCCTGGTCGATTACAAAAACATTGCAAGTGTCACTTTGAATGGAAACGATCCGAGCTCTGTGCCAGGCACCATCGATGCAAACCAGACAAAGGTCCCCGAGTTTTCCTTCTGATCCAGCGAACTTCCTGTCAGGATTCTGGATTTCCTCTCTCATCTGCTCATAGATATGCTTCCTCTCATCGTCCATGTTGACCCATAACTCTATGATACCACACCTGTCCTTTAGGTTAAGCCTCTTGATGACTACATGCACTTCTGTTCCAGTCGTTGGGAGGCCAGGATTTGAGCACATTGTGAGTTACAAGCTCAAACACACCTGCAAAACAGAAGAAAATGGGTTTTTAACTATTAGCAGAAAGCACTTACATTTTCCAATTTTAGCGCATTTACCAACTGGTTGCCTAATAAGCTTGAATGTGAATGTCAATATGGCCTCTACAGTTTGATAATATAAAAAAAGAAAAGGATAACTGGAAGAAACATGTCACCTGTTTTCATTTTAAGCGGCAAATCTCTTACGAACAGTTTTAGCCAGTTTTGAAAGGAGCACACTTAAGTAAAAGTACAAATAAAGCTGGCAATGTCCTTGATCTCATATTCTCAAGGAACTGCGCTACTTCTAACCTCTCTGTAAACCCGCTCCACACATCCGATCACTTCTTCATTTCATTCTCTCTATCCCTTTCCAAACATAACAAACTAATCTCTTCCCATCCTACACTTGTCCGCCGTAACCTTCGCTCCCTCTCCCCCTCTACCTTTGCCTCGTCGGTGCTCTCAGCCCTCCCTTCCTCTGATTCGTTCCAACTCCTGCCTCCAAACTCTGCTGCAGAAACTCTCCTCTCTACTCTCTCATCCACTCTGGACTCTCTCTGTCCTCTGACATCTCGGCAGGCTCGTCAGTCCCCTCCGGCTCCCTGGCTAAATGATGCACTGCGTGCTAATAGAACCGTCCTTAGGGCAGCAGAGCGGAAATGGTGGAAATCCAAACACCGTGACGACCTCCTAACCTATCAGGCTCTCCTCTCCTCTTTCTCTGCTTCGATCTCTCAGGCAAAAAGCACTTTCTTTCAAGATAAGATCCAATCTTCCTATTCCAATCCTAAAAAACTATTCTCCATCTTCTCCACCCTCTTGGACCCTCCAAAAGCCCCTCCCCCCTCCTCACTTCAGTCAAGCGACTTTGTTACCCACTTTGAAAAAAAGGTTGATGATATTCGCTCTTCTTTTTCTGACTCACCTTTACTCACCGCTGGGTCACCAGACCCTCCTTCCACCAACACACTGACCTTTTCCTCTCTCTCTCCAAAGTGAGGTTCTTACCCTCATTACCTCTGCCCGCCCTACCACCTGTCCTCTGGACCCTATCCCTTCAAACCTCCTTCAGACTATCGCTCCTGATATTCTACCGTTTCTCACCCATTTCATCAACACTTCTCTAACTTCTGGTCACTTTCCAAACAGTCTCAAGGAGGCAAGAGTAAAGCCTCTCCTAAAGAAACCCACTCTCAACCCGTCTGATGTTATAAACTACAGGCCTGTCTCTCTCCTCCCGTTCCTGTCTAAATCACTTGAACGCGCTGTCTTTAAACAACTCTCCTGTTATCTCAATCAGAACAACCTTCTGGATCCGCACCAGTCTGGTTTCAAGGCAGGTCACTCCACAGAAACTGCTCTCATTGCTGTCACGGAGGAACTGCACACTGCCAAAACTGCATCCCTCTCCTCTGTCATCATCCTGTTGGACCTGTCTGCTGCATTCGACACGGTGAATCATCAGATCCTCCTTCGCACTCTCCAAGAACTTGGAGTTTCAGGCTCTGCACTTTCCCTCCTCACCTCATACCTGAAAGACCGTACCTACAGGGTGACTTGGAGAGGGTCTGAGTCCGACCCTTGTCAATTAACTACGGGGGTCCCTCAGGGCTCTGTTCTTGGTCCCCTCCTCTTCTCCCTGTACACAAACTCGCTCGGATCAGTCATTAGCCCGCATGGTTTTTCATACCACTGCTACGCTGACGACACCCAATTAATTCTGTCCTTCCCCCGCTCAGAGACCCAGGTCGTCGCACGCATCTCTGCTTGTCTAGCGGACATCTCTCAGTGGATGTCTGCTCATCACCTCAAGCTCAACCTTGACAAGACTGAGCTGCTCTTCCTCCCGGGAAAAGATTGTCCCACTCTTGACCTAACAATCAACATCGGTACCTCAGTTGTTTCCCCGACTCAGACTGCAAGGAATCTGTGTGTGACCCTAGATAACAACCTGTCCTTCACTGCAAACATCGCTGCTACAAACCCGTTGCTGCAGATACACGCTTTACAACATCAGGAAGATACGTCCCCAGCTGACACAGAAAGCGACTCAGGTTCTGGTCCAGGCTCTCGTCATCTCACGCCTAGACTACTGCAACTCCCTCCTGGCTGGTCTACCTGCATGTGCCATCCGACCTCTGCAGCTCATCCAGAATGCAGCGGCTCGTCTGGTCTTCAACCTTCCTAAATGTTCCCACACCACTCCGCTCCTCCGCTCCCTTCACTGGCTTCCGGTAACTGCTAGAATCCACTTCAAGACACTGGTACTTGCTTACCATGCTGCGAATGGATCTGGCCCTTCCTACATCCAGGACATGGTTAAACCGTACACCCAAGCGCATGCACTACGCTCTGCATCAGCCAAACGACTCGTTGCACCCTCGCTGCGAGGGGGACCCAAGTTCCCATCGGCGAAAACACGTGGGTTTGCTGTCCTGGCTCCAAGATGGTGGAATGAGCTCCCCATTGACATCAGGACGGCAGATAGCTTACACATCTTCCGGCGCAAACTGAAAACTCATCTCTTTCGACTCCACTTCGAGCGTTAGAACTATTAACGAAGCACTTTTATACTAATAAAGGACTGGCTTACCTAAAGCCAGTTGAGTAGCACTTGAAATGTTTGGCTCTATGAAACCTGATGTACTTATATGATTCTGTTTTCTTCAAGGTTGTGTCTTCCTGGTCGAATGTACTTATTGTAAGTCGCTTTGGATAAAAGCGACAGCTAAATGCAATGTAATGTAATGTAAATACTATGATCTTAAAATACTCTAAAAAGTCCTGATTTCTAAATGTTACTTAAGTAAAAGAACAAAAGTATTAGTTAAAAATAAATACAGTTACAGAGTAGAAGTATGAAGTAATTTTAAATGGAAATACTTGAGTCCAAATATTTCAAAACAGTACTGTTAGAGCCAGTATTTTGTTTTTATAAAAAAAGGCCACATAATCGTGACGTCTGTAGTCAACACAGTATAAAGTAGGGGTCGACCGATTATCGGGGCCGAAATTCCGCATTTGACCAATTATCGTATCGGCCTTTTTTATCAAATTGCCGATAAAACTTTGGCTCTGATGCGGCCGTTTCTCTGGATGCAGTTACCAGTCTATGTCCCGCCCACAGCGCTATCTGAGGCTATTACTGAAGTGTCAATCAACACTGAAGATTTTCCGGGCAGGAGCCAGCCAGAGAGGCGGGACCTTCTCAGATTACAGGCAGGTGCGAAAGAACGCAGACACAGACTGAAGCAAGCAGCAGCGCTGAGCGGCAGAGCCATACATGTGTTTCGAATGTAAGTCAGTTGAAAGCCGAAGTTCAATAAACATCACTATCCCCTATGCTGAAGTTGCAAAAACACCACGATCTTATGATCCAATCCTATCAGTTTCCCAGTTACACAGGGACGCGTGTTAACATTCAGGTAAATGTGAACCAATTTGTGTTATTTGTTGTGCATGACCGGAAGCCAATAGCGTAACAGGTTAAAGGTCATGATGGGTATAAATAAAGCCACGCCTCCAATGGGAGAGTCCGTTGAATGAAATGCCACTGTCTCTGATGTTTCGTTATTCCTCCGCTTATTTGGATGCTAAACAGCAATGAAGTTATGCTTACTCTGCTAACAACGCGGGAAGTCCGTCAGAGTTGGGGGTGCGTGCAGCGTTTCGTTAATAGGGGATAAGTTCATTAAACATAATATATGCTTAAATGCATTTCAAAGAAGTTGTGTTGGAGTTTGTGTTATTCTACATTTTGACACCAAGATTTTCTGATTTTACTGCAAATGTATATCGGTTCCAAATATCGGTTATCGGTCTCCTTGATTACTAATAATCGGTATCGGCCTTGAAAAAGCCATATCGGTCGATCCCTAGTTTAAAGGACTACAATTCCCAGACTCTAAAGAGACGGAAATGGGCAACCTGTCGGAAAGACGCTGTCGAGGCAAAGCTTTCATCCATTAAAGTTTCCGAAGCCTATACTTGGAAGGAAAGAAAGAGCTCCTAAGTTGTTTATTATTTTATTTGAGTTTTGCCTCTTTTGTTTGATTTGTTTTGACTATTGTAAAGGCCTGTTTTCTTTGTTGAATGTGTGACATTTTATTTAAGTAAATGCAAAACACAATATCAACACCGCCGGAGGCCAAGTAAGTCATCAAACCGTGAGTAAAAAAGATCACATGGAAGGAAAGGCGTTACAAAAAATCTGTAAAAGACGTCCAAGTGGCTTAAAGCAAAGAATGAAGCCACGACAAGCACTTTGTTCAGTACTTGAGTAAAAGTTCTTGTTTCCTTCCATCACTGGTTTCAGCCAGGTGTAGCTAACAAACAAGAAGCATCTGCTGTGTCCAAAAGCACTTACTACTAACAATATCGCAAGTCATGCAAAGTTTGCCATGATGTAGTGTTTAGCTGAAGGTATCCCACAATGTAGGGTTGTGCAATTAATCGTACTTTAATCGCGATTACGATTATGGCTTGCGACGATTATGAAAACAGCATAATTGACAAAATACGATTATTTTGCTGGGTGCGCTTTCGCCCCTCCCTAAAAGCCCACTCGGCCACGTGGGAGTGACATGTGTTGTGAGTGTTCAGCGCGAGCGAAGATGTCAGAACAAGAGCAGCAACTCGTTAAAAAGAAGGGTAAAACTATTTCCACTAAGTACTTTGTCATTACATTCCACATCGCTAAAGATATGTGCCCAGTTAGCACTGTTAGCAACCAGGGCTTTAAGCAACTTGTCAACACGTTGGACAAGCGTTACGCGATGCCGTCTCGGTATTATTTCAGCAGGTCTGCGCTGCCTGCGCTATATGACAAATGCCGTGGGGAAGTTGAGAGAGATGTGGCTTCAGCTGACTACTTTGCCACCACAACAGACCTATGGTCTAGCCCAGGGTTGCCCAACCAGTCGATCGCGAGATGTGTCTAAAAATAGAACAACAATATTCTGTTTTATCGTTAATGTCCTGTAACATAATCTTCCTGTGCCA